AGCTGTGGAGTCTTGTGAGCAAAAATTCTACCTTGTGAGCTACTGGCATTAAAGTTGTGAGCGAGCGATTTGGCTGCTGCATCAATTCGTTTGCTCTGGAGCCCTCCTTCCTCAGCTGAGGCAAAAGTGTGCGCGCCGGAGGCTAAAAAACTGTGAGCTATCTCACACTAACTCAGCTTAGAGGGAACACTGGTGGACGGACATTTCAACACGAAGGCACACTGAAGACTTCATGTCATTGGTTCCATCTTTGCTCTTGTTGGGAATGTTCATCTCGGCATTTTTTGACCTTCCCTGGTCCACCTGTCCGCCTTGTGTCAACAAGGAAGAGGTGCATACCTCACAGGACCTCCATCGGCTCCCCAGGGCATGCAAGGCTGCTCGTTCTCCGGCAGCCTTTGGGTGATTGTGATCCACCAGGCAGCTGGTATGCCTCAGCTGGGTCTTCACCATCCACGCATCCTACCCAGCTTGAGAGTGGATAGATTTTCATGGGGATTGATGTTTATCTTTTTAAAGTTTATTTACTGTATTTTTGTATTATTTTTATAAGGCGTCTTTTATAGGCTGTCAGCTGCCCCGAGTCCCATTCAGGGGAGTGGGATATAAATTTGATAAATAAGATAAATGATAAATAAGTGTTCTGTGGGAGATCTGCTATCCAGATTAGATTTGCAGCTCCCCGGATTCAACTCATACCAGTCATGGCGATGAAGAACAGATCTCCGGGATTACCCAAATAACCTTCGTGTATTGAGATTTACTGGCTAACTGTCTAGGAAAGATTATTCATGGGCAAAGAGCAGGACAATGGAGGGAAAGGAAGAGTTAACATCTTGCTAGGGGTGACTGATCAACACTGTAGCCTTGAAGTGCTTCTAAGTAATAGGAGCCCCTTCTATTGTGAAACTGGCTGGTATGGATGTCTTTTAGTTTGACAGCATTAAGGACTCTGGGGCTGGAGAGTTAGTGCTGCTTAAATATATCATGTCTTACCCGGATGGACAACTTGGAACAGTGCTGAAATACGTCAACAACAGGTAGATATCCCACCAGCTAGTAACACGCTAAACATGCCTTCAGACACTTGAATACGCTTGTAAAATCAATGACATTGGTAAGATGCATTCACGTGGGGGTAGCCGTGTTGGTTTCAAGCAGCAGAACTAAGTTTGAGTCCAGTGGCCCCCTGAAGACCAACAAAGTTTTAGTCAAGGTATAAATGTATAAAGGTAAGATGCCTGAAGCTCACGGAAGCCCAGATGAGTTATCTCAGCAGGTAACATCGCTTAGTGGCTTGACCATACACCTGCTGGGTTTTAATAATACAGGATTGTTCTAGAATGTAAATCTTGTTTATGAGGCGGCAGATTCAGAGCTGTGCTGCTGTGATTACCACCTTGACCAGCTCACAATTTAAAGGTAAAGGTTTCCCTTGCTCGAAAGCCAGTCAAATCCAACTCTAGGGGGAGGTGCTCATCTCCGTTTCCAAGCCGAAGAGCCAGTGCTGCCCGAAGACATTTCCGTGGTCGTGTGGCCAGCATGACTAAACGCCAAAGCGCACGGAACGGTTACCTTCCCACCGAAGTGGTACCCATTTATCTACTTGCAATTTCTTGCTGCCGAACCGCTAGGTTGGCAGGAGCTGGGGCCCGAGATGGGAGCTCACTCCGTCAAACTGCCAAACTACAGACCTTCCAGTCTGCAGCTCAGCATCTTAACCTCTGATCTTCCTTGAGTCACCGCTCTTGGTCTTTACTATGGCTACCCATTTTGATCTTATCCCCACAGGAGACCACACTGGTTCGCTAAATGGGTGCAATCGAATAACCACGCACAGGAGAGCACTCCGCCACTCTGTGGATCTATGTTATAATCATTGTTTTTATTTTTAGAAAATTACAATAGAAAAGTACCTTTTGAACATTATTTTGAAAAAAAAAACCCAGAGTAGACAAAGGAGAAACCCCCTCCTACTTCAGCCACTGCTAACAGAAGGAGATACATTTTTTTGGGGGGGGGAATCAAGGTTTCCTGCTGCTCCAAGTCCTAACCTCCCTTTTTAAAAAAAACCAACAAAACAGTTATTCAAACACCTCTCATCAACATTTCCATTTTGTTCTCCAGTCGTACACGTTAGTTTTATGGCTAATCTTATTTATCCATCCCATTTGCTCTGTCTCTGGGCTGCGGTCACACACACACAGAGATAATCCACTCTCGGTCCACTTCCAGCGCACTTTCCAACTGGATTTTTACGGCGCGCACTGGCAAAGCCCGGTTGGAAAGTGCCTCGAAAGTGGATTCTTTAGTGTGTGCCACCACAGCCGCTGTGGCCATTTCAAAGCCTCCTGGTTTCTCAGCATTTGGTGTTTCCATACAGGATGCCGTATCCTCATTAAAGAAGACGCATAAATCACTTGCACCCCTGGCGCAAGCGTCAACAATACTCATTAGGGAAGCCTCTTGGTGTATGTTTAATCACGGTAAAATAAAACCTGGTCTCTGTGCTGAGCCAGTTGGAACAGCTGGCCCTGCTGATAGTCTTATGGGAAGAGGGGGGGGGGTGGCTATAGAGGAAAGGAGGACCGAGCTCTGGGTACGCAAGAGAAGGGACTTCAGCCAGGTAGACCTTATCATACAGGTGTAGAAAGCGGCACCTCCTGGTTCCAGAGCTCCATCCTCCCCACCAGGCCCTTAGCTACAGTGGGGCTTTTCGGGGCTTTGCCCTTTCTTAAAGGGACAGCCCCACAGGATCTTCTCCAAAATATTCTTAACCACTTTTTTAAATGGCCCTCCGACATTGCTCTCCTCGATGATCTTTGGTGGGACTCTGTAATCTGTTAGGGGCAAATTTTAGGGTGTGTGTGTGTGTGTTTTAAGCCCCCTGCAGTTGCTTTTTGAGGCTCTGTTAGGATGTGAAAATGTGTTCCACGATTGGAGGAGAAGGGCTTTTCAAACCAGAAATTTGTTTTTGCCCCACAAGCCACAAAATCCTGGCTACGGGCCTGCCCCCCCTCAATTCCCCATACGACTATGAAATGACCAGTCTGTCACACAGGAATGCAGGCTGACTGTTCTAAATGGGCCCTTAACCGGAAAGAGCAACAGAGTCAAAACTATTTTGATACTGGAGAAAGTAAAAACACTGTCCTTAAACATTAGAAAGACGTCATTAAAAACACTGTTGCTGGTGGATTCCTAAGAGGGGACGTTTTGCTTGGTCAGCTTCTCATTCGTCCAGCTTTCCTACAAATTCACGCAGCTTTCGAGGGGAAACTGAGGCGCGGCAGGGTCTGCAGGAGCACTGCTGGCGGCAACCAGGAGGAGCAACAGCAAGCAGCAGGTATGCCCACCCGCCATGTTCGGGGAACTGATTCGCAGCCACTTTTAGATCACAAAAAAGTGGACCGTGTGAAGGCTATTTTAAGTCTTTACTCCATCGGATTTGAGTGGAAAGGGTGGTTTAGTTGCTTCGTTACGGACCAAGGTCCCCGTCAGTGGCAAATGTGAAGCTGACTGGGCAATGGTGTGGCAATCACGTGGCTGCCTTTGGAAGCCGGGAGACGGCTCAAGCCGCAGTCGTTTCAGCCATCTCTCATCAACTCAAAATGGCGGCACGAGTCAAGGCCAGGAAGGCGAAACATCCAACCTGACAGGAGGAGTCCCCACTAGACTGTGGAAGGGTATGAAGCAGTCCCTTGGCATGGGCTTCCTTTACAAAAGTTGATATCCTGGGGTGTGGCTGTGTGTGTGTATGCGTGCGTGGCACCTATCTCGTATAGATCCAAAACCGTGCCAACTATTCTACATCTGCGTTTGAGGCTCCTCTGAAAACTCTGTTACAAAAGCTCATCCGGGGGGACGGGACACCTTTCACTGGAAACCCACGCTCACCCAAATCACCCGTGTTGCCACCAGCTGTACTCTGCTAACTGATGCGCCACCTGCCTTCTCCGTGAACAACTGCGTCACCTTGCTGAAAAGTTTCAAGCAGCTAATGTAGCGGACTCCCCCCCCCCCATACGTGGAGTAAAACCATATAATCTCGTCGTGTTAAAATACACAGCAAAAACATACATAGGGACACAGAGTCCTCTCTCTTTTTTAAAAAAAGAATCCTATTTCGTTTAAAGCAAGCAGAGCGCGGGGGATGTTATGAACTCGCTTTACAGAACTCGGGTTTTGCCTAGCCTCCGGCCCAGCTCTCAATTTTCCACCAGGCGATCACATACTTTGTATAAACGGGAGGGATACGTGAAGAAAAGCCGCGGCCGTTTGCGGTATCGAAGTGGCGCTCTTTCCCAGCTGTGGGGAAGTACAGAAACGGCCACGGCTGTTTCCAAGCACCCATCGCCTCCGACTTCACATTAATGCTTCTCCGTGCTGCTACGTACCCAAGCAGACGACCGCGTGGAGAACATACAGGCAGCTGTCGGCCTCTGTTAATACAAGCAAGCTGTGCGGCAGGCCATAACATACCTTCCCAAGTTAGAAAAAAAGATTGATTGTCTTGCTCAATATAGTTTGGCACATTTGGGAGAAACATGTACAATATGTCACAGGAACATTTAATATGTTCAACACACGTCCGTTCATCCCTGACTCCCAGCCGGGATGACCAAAAACGTCTATACATTTTAACTATACATTTAACTATACACTTAAGAATTGGAACTAGATTAAAAAAAAAAAACATGCCTTAAACATGCATCTTAAAAAGGATGGGGCGTGTGGGGGGGAATTCTTAATTACGGGCATTCAAAAGTCAAGCACGTAATCCGTGCCCCAACCCAGTGTAAGATCTTCCAATGTTTGGTATAAAAAAATACTTGAGTTCTTCTGTTCGTTGGCTGTCGTTGCTCTGTTTGAAGACACCTTTTCCGAGCAGATGTTCGCACACCCTTTTGTTCAGGAGTCACACGCTCTCTTCCTTACAATTTTATACAGTGTAGAAGAGGAAAACATTATTATACTCAGTATTGTTTGGTTTTTTTTAAAATTTTGCTTCCAGGAGAGCAGATGTGTGATAGAGGCTGTGGCAAAGTCTTGAAGGGATCCAAGCTGGTGGGAGGTCTCTTAAGCCTGCAACAGAGGGGGGGAAGAAGCGCCGGTTAGGAAAGGAAAGGAGCGTCCAGGATGGGAACGGAGAGGCTGACGCGGGGGACAGTTCGAGTCCCTGCAGGTCTCTCTCTCGTTCATTGTTGTTGAGTAGTGTGTGTGTGCGTGCATGCGTGTGTGTGTGCCTGGAAGTCATGGTTGACTTCTGGTTAAGCCCTAGTGGGGCTTGGACATTTCAGAGAGGTGGCTAACTATTCCCTGCCTCTGCGTCCCGGCCCTGGTATTCCTTGGAGGTCTCCCGTCCAAGCAAGGCTCCCTCTAAGCTGTGGAGTCCCGTGAGCAAAAATTCTACCTTGTGAGTGACTGCCGTTAAAGTTCCGAGCGAGCGATTAGGCTGCTGCGTAAATTAGTTTGCTCCGGAGCCCCATCCTTCCTGAGCTAAGACACAAAATGGGTGAGCCGGAGGCTATAAAAACTGTGAGCCGGCTCACGCTAACTCAGCTTAGAGGGAAGACTGCTTCCAAGTCCTTGCCAGGGCCGGCCCTGCTTCGCTTATGAGACCTGATGAGATCGGACTTGGTCCCTGCAGGTCTCTTGAGCCCACACCCAGAGATTTGACCCTTTAGGCCATGAAGATCAAGCATCGGGCATGGAAGATTTAGGGGATCCCCAGTCACACATGCAAGAATCCTGCAGGATCAGACCAAGGCTACCCTGACATGCAGGGCTATTTTGGGGCAGGAACGCACAGGAACGGAGTTCCGGCTGGCTCCTGAGTTGGCCACGCCCAGCAGGAACTCATTAGCATAATAGGCCACACCCAACAGCAGGAACTCATTAGGATTGGCTACATTAGGGGTGTGTGGCCTAACATGCAAAGGAGTTCCTGCTCCCAAAAAAGCCCTGGGTTTTGACAACAAACAAGGTAAACAGAATAAGAATCAAAAGGTGGGTGTGGCTGGATGACCACACTTCTGGTAACATGGGGGTGTGGCCTAATATGCTAATGAGCTGTGCTGTCAGGGTGTGGCCAAATATGCTAATGAGTTTCTGCTGTTGGGTGTGGCCTATTATGCTAATGAGTTCCTGCTGGGCTTTTTCTACAAAAAATGCCCTGCCATGGATAGCCCAGGCTAGCCCGATCTTGTCAGATCTCAGCAGCTAAGCAGGGTCGGCCGTGGCCAGTACTTGGATGGGAGACCTCCAAGGAATACCAGGGTCGTGGCCTGGAGGCAAGGGATGGCAAGCCACCTCTGAAACGTCTCTTGCCTTACAAACAAGTCTAGCTCCCCACCTAGCAAATGTGATGGAGAAGCAGGATGGAGAAGCTCACTCGATCACTGTGTATTGTCATAAGATGACTATTAAGCCGTGTGGGAGGGTTCTGGGATAGAAGAGCTCAGAGAGCCAAGACAGTCTTGCAGTCGTAAGCAATTCTGTCTCCAAACAGTTTTGTGCTTCTCTCGATCTTTCCAGCAACATTTCCCCTTCCTCTGAATGGTAATCTGAGACCCACGGGACTTCAATATTGAGAGGAATATTGAGAGGAATACTGAGAGGAACATTGAGAGGAATATTTTGGGGGGGGGGCTGTTCAGACATGATGGGTTTTTCTAAGATCTGTGTCTTTATCATGCTACCCGTGCATCTGTTTCACTCTATACTCTGGCTTCATACAGTGTGTGTTTCCCTGACTGTATGCCTTGGCAGTGACCGACATCCAAGGACTCTTACATTGTTAGTCTTCTTATGCAAATGGCTGAAAGTAACAGACCCTAGCAGGCAGCTTTAGCTCAGCGCTTACTCAGAATAAGCACAGAAGGTAGCTAAACCCAAAGGCCAACTTTCCGCAAGAACAGTGGCAGGGCTATATCTCAGCTTCTGAAGCGGAGCCCTGTGTTAACTCACTAGCAGCAAGCTGCTCATTCCCGGCACTGTTTACCAGCACAAGGTGTGTACAGCTAGCACCGTCACCTTGATTTTTTGCCGCATGCGAACAGCGTTGCTCAATGGTCTCTCTTGGCTCAAAGCAATGATCAAGATTTTAAAGAAACCAAACGGAGAGGCTGAAGCCCTTGGTCGCACCGCTTAGGTTTGCCCGAAATAGAACAGATTTTCAAAACAGTGCGCCAACTTACCCACCACACTGTATTTTTGCAGATGAAGGTAAGATACTGGTAGCGACTTAGGAAGAACCCTTTAATACCCACAAGACAGATTGTAGCCGCCATCACACACCTGGTACCTGCAACAGTAAAACACACTATCAGGGATGTGATCACTTTTTTACGGCAGCACTGGCAGCATCAACAGAGCCCGTGTCCACCCCGCGCTCAGTGTAAACACGGAATCAGCTCCTTGAAATAGCAGTAAATGGTAGCCACAGAAAGGCTTTCTTTCCTTTTTTCTGGTGCCCGAAAAGACACCGCAACCTTCCTCTGAAAAGCTTTAACTACTCAGCTTTTTAGACTGTGCAAAACTGCTAATGCAGATTTCATAGCTGCAAGGAATTTAACATTTGCATTTATTTATTTAAAACTTTTATCAGCCACCTTTCCTCCTCATGGCAGCTTACAAACATACATAAAACACGTAGGATATAACACATTACAACTGTAAAACACTTAAAATCACTACTCAGGACTGCTACCAGGGCTATTTTTGGAAAGGAATGCACAGGAACGGAGTTCTGGCTGGCTCCTGAGTTGGCCACGCCGAGCAGGAACGCATTAGCATAATAGGCCACACCCAACAGCAGGAACTCATTAGGATTGGCTACGTTAGGGGTGTGTGGCCTAACATGCAAAGGAGTTCCTGCTCCAAAAAAAGCCCTGGGTTTTGACAGCAAACAGGGTAAACAGAATAAGAAGCAAAAGGTGGGTGTGGCTGGATGACTACACTTCTGGTAGCATGGGGGTACGGCCTAATATACTAATGAGCTGTGTCATCGGGGTGCTAATGAGTTCCTGCTGGGCTTTTTCTACAAAAAGAGCCCTGACTAATAAACGTAAACCAAATGGGTCCTAAATAAAACCATCTCCAAATACTGCCTAAAGTTCAAAAGTAGGGGGGGGCCCGCCAGGCACACCTCCCTGAGGAGGGTGTTCAATAATTGCGGGGCTGCCACTGAAAAGGCCCTCTCGCGTGTACCGGCGTGTTACTTGTGGAAAAGTCACTCATTCACCCCTCCTGAAACAAGGTCAAGGGATAGCAAATGGTCCAAGGGCCACTGACTGAGGGCTGCTTCATTTACCATAGTTTTTCTCCCCAGAATATAGGGGAAAGTTGTGTGTTATAACGTTCAAAGAACAAGGAGAGTACAGGGACCAGGTGGCTAATGCATGCGGCAACGGGGTGACTTCTTCAAACTGTTACGCGAAGACTATTTCCACACAGAGAAAACCCGTGTCCCGAGAAAGCGGGCAGAGTTGACAATGGCTGTGCAGGAGGCGGAATCAGGTCACCCGCCATATGGTGCGACAACACCCAAACCTGTGAATCTGCAACCGCCACGTTAACTGCATGTGGAACACAAGAGGCACCATTCGGTGTTAACGTTCCAGTCAAGACTGCCCTCTGCTGTGTTTCCCAAGAGCTAAAGCTGGGCTTCACTGCCAGAAGCCTATCTAGTCAGAAATGGCCAGCCAGAAATTTCTGGGAAACCCAGGGAGAGGATATGAAGGCAGCAGTTATTTTACTCCAAAAGCTAGCATCGGGGGCCATATTGCCCCTAAACAAGGAGGTTCCAGTTGTCTCGCATGGCTACTGACGGGTCCCTCCATGAAAGCCAACACATCCTTCCCAGAGATTCCTGCAGGGCTAGTAATGGTGGCTTGCTGGTTGTCATGGTGAACTAAGAGTGCCACACGGAAAACACGGCCTAGCCGACTGGGTCGGGTGGCTCTGCTCCAGTCTGGGGTGGAGAGTGTTCTGTTCTTCTTAACACCCTTTTAAAGTCTCTAGCGCTGTGATCACACACACTAAATAATCCACTTTCAATGCACTTTCCAACTGGATTTTACTGTGGGAACTGGCAAAATCCAGTTGGAAAGTGGTTTGAAAGCAGATTGGAAGTGGATTATTTGGCGTGCATGATCACAGCCTAGGTGTATGAACAATTCTGGTTTCAACTCAGCCACAGTTAAGCACTGAAATAACACTGCAAATCAACAGGACATTTAAGAATTTGGTTGGAATGTGCTGCTTGTTATTTAGGGCTCCCAAATCTCACCAAATCGCGCGTTGGGGGATCCGCATGTCTTTGCAGAATCCGTGCCACGGGGACGGCGAGACACACTGCACCGCCATCGCCAGGACATGACGCTACGCGTCGCTCTGGCAACGGGGCTGTTTGGAGCCCCGTTGCCAGAGCGACGCGTAGCGTCATGTCCTGGCGACGGCGGGTGCAACGCGTCTCGCCGTCCCTGCAGCACAGATTCTGCAAAGACACACGATCCCCCGCCGTGACTTAGCAACCCTATTGTTATTGCTGTAAACTATATATATTCAAAAAAATCTCCCTCCTTCCACATAAATGAGAATTATTTCCCCATTTTTTCCCCTTACAACAACCTCATGAGGGGTTTGACTGAAAGGTACTCTCAAGTCTCTCAGTGAGCAAGAAAAGGCTTAGCCAGGCAATACTTGGCGGCTTAACAGGCCGTTTGTGTGAGAAACAGTCGATTCCACATGTTCAGGAACAATGCTCCCTCTAAGCTGTGGAGCCTTGTGAGCAAAAACTCTACTTTGTGAGCTCCTGGCATTAAAGTTGTGAGTAAGCAATTTGGCTACTGCATAAATCAGTCTGCTCTGGAGCCATCCTTCCCGCGCTAAGGCAAAAATGGAGGCTAGAAAACTGTGAGCTAGCTCACACTAACTCAGCTTAGAGGGAACACTGTTCAGGAACCTCCCGTAGCTATCCTGACAGGCAGAGAAGGTTGGCTTTAAAGTGCAGGATCACCCTTCCGACCTTCCTCAGGACCAGGAGAGGGCTCTGGGAGTCTAAAAAGAGCTAAGCTAAACCATATATATATAAAAGTACAAATATTTATTAAGGTGTAGACATGTTAAAACTTGTATACTTATAATTGGACTCCAGTGCAGCAGCTAATAATAGAATTTTCACCTTGATGGAGGGACACACATTCAGACCTACAAAATCGCTGTTACCAGGTTTCTTAGCCAACGTAATAATTTTCATTTCAATTTGGGTGAAATTAATTACACAATTTGACTGACAAAAGTTTTTACAATTTCATTTCACTTTTTAATTCAGAATAAGTTGTGGAGGTGATATGGCTATACCTATGGCCCATCACTAATACCAGGAGTCCAATTATAAGTATACAAGGTAACTTTATCTTTGATAGAATCATTTTTTATTCAATAATAATTTCTTTTATACATTTGGACAGAATAATGAAGTTTCTTCTCCTTTCTCCCCCCCCCCCATTTTTCTTTGAACAATTTCAGGAAACAACATCTGGTTTAATTATATGTGTACGAAAACTCTGTAACAGGTCTTTGAATGTGTGTCTAGAATATATAGATAATAGTGACCACTGAGGAAGGCCCTCAGGGGCCGAAACGCGTTTGGTCTTCAGTTGTAAAGTATTTACCTATCATATGTATGTATAGTGGATAAGCTTTTATAGTCTGATCTTAGACAAAGTAATTTTTAATCAGGAAACTTTTAACATGTGTAAAGGTAAAGGTAAAGGTTCCCTTGCTCGAAAGCCAGTCGAATCCGACTCTAGGGTTGCGGTGCTCATCTCCGTTTCAAAGCCGAAGAGCCAGCGCTGTCGGAAGACGTTTCCCAGGTCATGTGGTCGGCATGACTAAACACCGAGGCGCACAGAACGCTGTGACCTTCCCACCAAAGTGGTCCCTATTTATCTACTTGCAATGTCTTGCTTTCGAACTGCTAGGTTGGCAGGAGCTGGAACTAGAGATGGGAGCTCACTCCGTCATGCGGCACACTCAGGTCTCGAACTGCTGAACTACCGACCTTCCACAGCCTGCAGTTCAGCGTCTTAACCACTTGAGCCACTGCTGGTACCCGCATCTTATTTTTATGTGCACCGGGTGAGATGTTGTACATACAGTGATTCTTCTCTTTGAAAATGAACTGGCAAATGGATTTTGTTTGTTTTTGTTGTCCGAAGGAGAACTTCCAAGTCCATCACATTCTATTATTCCCCTTGTCCGGCCCGCTCCTGATCTTCAGATGTGATAAGATGGCACTTGAAAGGAGCCGGGAGAGGGAGGGAGAGGTGAGGAGAGGCTGCTGACAGGAGAACGCCCGGTCCCCCCTCGGAAGGGCCTCATGCGCTCATTTGGACACCGAGGCCAAAGACTGTCTTGCAAAGGAACTGCAGAACATTTCTTTGGAGGGGAGAGGTTCCGTTGTTGTTGCTCAGCTTGAGAGGAAGAAGAGCCAGGTGGGATTAGTGGATTAGTGATCCTACCATAATAGCAGCTGCGGCACTGCAAGCCAGCGAGGGGGCCGTGCGCGCCCGTGGAAAGTTACTCTCTTATTCTGTCAGGGCTGGACTTTCGAAATTCTGTAAGGCATGAAGCGGCCTCACCAGGTCCAGAGCGTTAGCCTGTCAAGCTCCATTTTGTTGACTCGGACTGCCGGCGGCTCTTTAGGCTCTTGGGATGGAGACTTTTGTGTCCCATGATCCTTTTCACTGGAGATGCCGGGGACTGAACAGGGACCGTCTTGCATGCACAGCAGATGCTCTGGCCCTGCCCTTGTTAGTGATACAAAATGAATGCACAGGTTGCTTCCAGCTGAGTCAGACTTTTGGCCTATCAAGGTCATTATTGTCCACTCTGACTGGCAGTGGCTGTCTGTCTAATCTAGAGAACCGGGTTTGATTCCCCACTCCTCCACATGAAGCCAGCTGGGTGACCTTGGGCCAGTCACAGTCCTCTTGGAGCTCTCTCAGCCCCACCTACCTCACAGGGTGTCTGTTATGGGAGGAGGAAGGGAAGGCGATTGTAAGCCGCTCCGAGACTCCTTTATCTTGAAGAGTGAAGGTATAAAATTAACTCTTCTTCCGCTTCCTCCTCTTCTGGTGTCTCAGGCAGGGACTGTTATTTACGTCCATGCCTTGAACATATGAAGCTGCCTTATATGGAATCAAACCACCAGCATGTCAAGGTCAGTCTTGGCTACTAAGACTGGCAGCAGCTCTCCAGGGTCTTGGGAGGGTGGTCTTTTGCATCACCTGCTACATG